CACAGGACAGCTGAGTGATAGGGACAGCTCTGCCTTGCTTACTACTTCAGGGCTGGGTCAGCCATACCTGCACCAACAGGGATGGCTCCCCTGTGTTGCCCAGGCAAGGTGTAGAGGACCTGATCTCCCAAGTGCCCATGGGGGTCAGGGACAGCTCTCCCATTCTTATGTTTAGGTATATTCCTTGTATCCCTGATCTCTCCAAGACTTTTAGTGAGATGATCATGTATTTTTTTCTTTCAGTTTGTTTATATGGTGGACTACATTGACAGATGTTTGTATGTTGAACCATTCCTGCATCTCTTGGATGGAGCCCACTTGATCATGGTGGATGATCTTTTTGATATGTTCTTGGATTCATTTTGCCAGTATTTTACTGAGTATTTTTGAGTCAATGTTCATAAGGGAAATTGGTGTGTAATTCTCTTTCTTTGTTGAGTCTTAGTGTGGATTGGGTATCAGGGTTAACTGTGGCCTCATACAAAGAATTTGGCAATGTTCCTTCTGTTTCTATTTTGTGGAATAATTTGAGGAGTATTGGTATTAGCTCTTCTTTGAAACTCTGGTAAAGTTCTGCTCTGAAACCATCTTGCTCTGGGCTTTTTTTGATTAGAAGACTTTTAATGACCATTTTTTTTTATTTCCTTAGGTGTTATAGGTCTTTTTAAATAGTTTATCTGGTCTTGATTCAAATTTGATATGTGGTGTCTATCAAGAAAATTTTCCATTTCTTTTAGATTTTCCAAATTTGTGGAGTACAGGTTTTTGAAATGTGACCTAATGATTATCTGGATTTCCTGTGTCTGTTGTTATGTCCCCCTTTTCATTTCTGATTTTATTGATTGGGATGTTCTCTCTCTGCCTTTTAGTTAGTTTGGATAAGGTTTTGTCTATCTTGTTGATTTTCTCAACCAATTCTTTGTCTCACTGATTCTTTGTATTGTTCTTTTTGTTTCTATTTTATTGATTTCAGCCCTCAATTTGATGATTTCCTGCCTCCTACTCCTCTGGGGGTGTTTGCTTCTTTTTGTCCTAGAGTTTTCAGGTGTTCTGCTAAGTTACTAATATGAGATTTCTCCAAACTCTTTATGCAGGCTCTTAGTGCTATTTTCCTCTAATCAAGGCTTTCATTGTGTCCCATTTTCACTGAATTCTAGGACGTCTTTAATTTCTATCGTTATTTCTTCCCTGACCGAGTAGTAATTCAGTTGAGAGTTGTTTAGTTTCTCTTAGTTTGTAGGCTTTCTGTAGTTTCTGTTGTTGTTGAACTCCAACTTTAATCCCTGGTGATCTGATAAGATACAGGGGGTTATTCCAATTTTCTGTGTGTCTGTTAAGACCTGCTTTGTGGTAGAATATATGGTCAATTTTGGAGAAGGTTCCATGAGGTTTTGAGAAGAAGGTATATTTGAAGTTTGGGTGAAATGTTCTGTAGATATTTGTTAGGTCTATTTAAGTCATAACATCTGTTAGTTCCATTATTTCTGTTTAGTTTCTATCTGATTGACCTGTTCATTGCTGAGACTGAGGTGTTGAAGTCTCCCACTATTAATGAATGAGTGGGGTTTGATATGTGATTTAAGCTTTAGTTATATTCCTTTTACAAATGTGGGTGTCTTTGTATTTGGGGCATAGATGTCCAGAATTGAGACATCATCTTAGTGGTTTTGTTCTTTGATGAATATGAAATGTTCTTCTCCATCTTTTTTTTATTATTAATTTTGGTTTGAAGTCTATTTTGTTAGATATTAGGATAGCTACACCAGCTTGTTTCTTAGGTTCTTTA